TTTAAGCTTCCTTCAAAACAAGACTTTGAATGGAAGTCAAAATTCCTTAATGCAGATATACCACAACTTACTTAAGCTAGTTTTTTTTGAATTGTTTAACTTGTATTTGCATGGATATGTGTTCAGAGGTTAAAGGGTACTGACTTTCTGGGAAGAAGGTGGAGAGGAAATGGCTTCTGGAGGCTGAGTGGTGGTCGAATAGAGTCTGAAGGGAGGGAGAGCAAACTCTGAGAGGTCAAGCCATCATCTCTGTCAGCAGCCAGTGGGAATCTATGGCTGAGTCCTCTAGACATATCACATTAGGTTTCTAGCAGCTTTGAGAAGGCTGTTTTGATCAGTTTCAAAGTGGTGGTCTATCTGGCTGTGTAGACCCTACCCTGTTCACCATCTTAATTTAAGAAGGGAATAATAACAGCAGAAGAGAGTATTCTGACCAACAAAGTGTGTCACCGTAAAAGAACCATGTTGCTGCTTTGAGCCTGCATTTACCCAACAGGGACATGGGGACAATAATACCTCCTTTGCAGATTGTTGTGAAAAGTAAACAAAATCCCATATAATCCTCAAAGGTCTGCTTAGAGGCCATGATTTGATGTCTATGTGATACGGCCAGATGTCAGAAGGATGGAATATATGCTTAAACCAAGGAATCTTCCTCCTTCCCCATGGTTGGAGCAGGCACAAACCCACTGTGGGCACCCACTCTCAGGTGCTGGGCTGCCAATTTAGGCCTCCAAACAGATTCAAAAATGAGTCTGGGAGAAGCAGTGGGTGAAGGCTCAGGGGCCCCACCTAGCCGTGGGTGAATCAGCTCGTCTTGCCCAAAGAACTGGTTGAAGAAGCCTCTGCGGTCCAGGCACACCCAGGGTGTGGCTGCTGTGGGGCTACAGAGGCACCAAAAGTGAAAATAAGGTTCAAAGCCAACAAATTTCTTCAAGTGGAGATGGAAGAACATACAGAAAACAACATAACAGAGTCAAGCTGGTTTGAAGTTAGAAACTCAGAAAAGATGGAGCCCTGAGCATCCCAGAAAAGGTTTGAGAAAGAGCTTGGTCTTGAGCTGAGAAGAGGAGAAGACAGACACTCTGGTTCATTAAACAGGGCCTTAAACCCACAATAGGCACAGCTTTGGAAATGCATTAAGAGTGAGAGAAACACAAGTTATTCCAATTAATTCTTCCTAAGACAAGGAGAGGAAAGATAGACACAGGGCCTATCTCCCAGGAGACAGAATTGATGAGACCAGGTGGCTGGGATGAAGAAAAGATGTCTGCCCCCCCCCCCCCCCCGCAGAACTCTGTTGCTGTTGTTGTTAGTTCTGTCAAGTCATTCTGACTCATAGCAACCCTTATAAGGAGCCCTGGTGGCACAGTGGTTAAGAGCTTGGCTGCTAATTGAAAGGTCCAGTTGGTGAAAGATGTCAATACATGGAAAGGTAACATGTCTTTGGGATGTGAAAGCTCTGCATTGGGATCCTCTCAGTCCTTGCCCTATGTGTCTCTTCATATGTATCCTTTCTGCTATAATAAAATTGTAATTATAAGTATAGTGCTTTTTTGAGTTGTGTGAGTCATTCTAGTGTATTATCAAACCTGAGAGGGTATTAGGAACCTCCAAATTTGTAGCCAGTTTACCAGAAGTGAAGGGGCCCTGAGAACCTTTGAGCTCAACGATTGGTGTCTGAAGTCTTGGGCAGGCTTAGCAGTCTGGAGGAGTGTGCCTTTAACTTGTAATATTTGACTTAGCTCCTGTGGTTAGAGTCAGAAAAAGAGGAAGTGCATTTGCAGAGAAGATACTTAAATTTGATATGAGAGAATCACACCCAGAGACATCCTTAGCAACCTTATTTGGAAATGAGGTCACTGAAGATATTATCAGTTGGAAAATGACATGGCCGTCAGACCTCTAACTTCAGGAGAGGGGGGAGGAGAGTCACCATCAACGTCAGCCCAACACTGATTCCTATAAGGTGGAGGTCAGGCATACCTCCACTCTCCAACCTTTTTACCAATTCTGACACCAGCCATCCCTCCACCCGCACTCTCTGTTTTTCTTCTGGATTCAATAATCCATTGCAGTGTCTCATAGAACTCACCAACTGTATTTACAGTTAAGTGGTTTATTAAGGAAGTAACAGGGTACTGTGGGATATATGCCATTTAAACATAGCTGCACTATTGACAACTGCAGCCCCCACGGGCCTCTATGCTGTATACGACATGTTGGAAACTTGTCAGCCATAAGAATGAGATCAGGCATGACTTGTTTTCCCAAACCTATTGTCCCGTTACTGATTGGCTTGTTTACCTGAATTCCTTCTCCCTTGCCCAAAACTTATTGATACTCACCCAAAGCCCATTGTTCTGTTATTTGCTTCACTGTTTGTTGTATTGACTATAAAATAAACTCCTGGGACTGAAGCCGGGGTCACTCCTCAGAGTGACCCTCCTGGCCCCACTTCTCTGTAAGAGTTGTGTTTGGTTACTGTCTCCGCCGCCCCGACATTCGCCGCCGCTGCGACAGGGTACAACTCTGGATCAGGGTAAACAGGCTACCACTCGGGATCAGAATCAGGAAGCATGTAGGCAATGTCTCCTTTCTTTAGTGCAGAACAGCTCTCTTAGCTCTTCTCAGCCACTCAGGCCTCCTCTCAGCTCCCTCAGGACAGGCTCCCCTCGGCCTTGTAGTCTGTCACCACTGACTGCCGCAGAGCCCCTTCTGGGCCTCTTGCCATCTTCAGTGTTACAGCCCTTGACCCATGTTACAGCTCTTTTAGGAGGTTCCTTGCCACTTCTCTCTCTCTGCTTCTTCTCTCTTCTCTCTTCCTGCTGCTTCTCTTCCTGCTTCTTTGTGTCTGGAAAAATCTCTGTGAGGTTGACTGCATACGTACACAACTCCAAGGCATGGCCCCCCATGCCTTAAAATTGACAAGGAGTTGGCCTTCCGGTAGGAGGCCACAAACTGACCAATCCCCTCTCAGTAGGCCACAGATACTTTATTTGCATAGTAGGCTATAGTCACATCATTTGTATAGTCTATTGACCAGTCCCTGCAAGGTGCATACCAATCACAGGGTAGGCTGCAGCCCAGAGGCAGACAAAAAGTATCAAACCACAAGTTGTTTACAGCCTGCCCAGGAAATGTCAATCAACCTGGACCATCTGGAGTAGAAACTAGGGTAAAGGCAACTCCCCAGGACTTGGAGGGGAAATCTCTCTTAACTGTTTTTCCAAAGCACCAAGGCAAAGGGCCACACAAAGGAACTCATTTCACCGCATCAGTTAATATGAGGTCATACTGGAGTAGCATGGTTCCTAATCCAATATGAATGATCTCCTTACAAAAGAGGAGAAGAAACACAGATGGACACAGAGTGGGAAGATAGCCATGTGAAAATGGAAGTAATGCCTCTCTAAGCATTACAGTAATGCATCTATAAGCATTCCTCAGTGTGACTGGAGGAAGCTCACAGCAATTGAGCTAGGTCTCTAGCAATTCACTCCAAGGACTCAGTGTGGACTGGTCACAGCCCTAGACACGGACTGAGCCATGTTAGCCACACGGTGGTGGTGCCTCAGCAGACAGTGTACAAATAATGCCCACTAAGGCAAACTCCATTGGTCTTTTTCTTCCATGAGGTTATAGTGCCATTTAGGCCTTAGTGCTCTTGCTTAAAGGATGTCCTATTGTAAAATGACTTGACTATCTTTCTCTGCTTGACTCACTGTTTCCTTCCCTTTTGTTGCTCTTCTCAGGTGGCTAGAGAGGCTAGCTGAGGACTTTCACTTGAAACAACTGGGGCTACCGGAAGCTTGGAGAGAGAAGAAAGTATCTTTCTCTAGAGTCTTCAGAGAAAACTTGGCCCTGATGACAGCCTGAATTCAGAGTTCTAGCCTCTAGAACTGTGGCATCAATAAATTTCTGTCATTTTAAACCACCTACTTTGTGGTAATTTGTTATGACAGCGCTAAGAATCTAATACAATACCGGAAGGGAAAAAGGAGAAAGCTGACTCTGTCACTGATGGGAATAATTCTGCAACAACAAAAAAAAAGTTGTCAAAACAGACCAGGCACAGAAAGCTGAAGGTACTAGAGAAGTCACGTGAGGTGTGTACATTTTTATTTATGGGTACTTCTATGACTGTACAATTTGAAATTCTATTTTTCAAATTTGATAAAAATGCAGAATTTCACTTTACTCTTTTTTTAAGTTATATTTTTATCACACAGGAAGCTTGGTTATTGTTTTGATGAAAGGGGAAAATGTCACTAATAGTATGTCTCAGATGCTGGGTTGAAATGGGGAAAACAACTTTGAGAGAATTCCTCTTGGTTCTTAAGAGGAGGGATTCCCTGATGTTGACACATCAGCCACTCTGGCACAAATGCCTTGTTGTGTGGAAAAACTAATATTTGATTTCTTATCCTCATGTCCTCCTCTCCTCCCTTAAACCCAAAGCCTTGCTGGGACCTGGGTTCCCTAAATCGAAAGTGTTAGACATCAGAAAAAGGCAATTTGGACTTTCCAATGACAATATTAAAAGATGTCATTCAAGCTGTGTTCCCTTTTCAGGCTGTGGAGGCTGAGAGTTATACAGCTTTTGTTTCAGTTCATCAAAATTAGAGTAGACTCATGAAATATGAACACACCAACTGTAAAAAGTCAACCCTCTCTCTCTAAACCAGTGTTTCTCAAACTTGGTCCTATTGACATTTTGGGCTGGATAGTTTTTAATCATTTGTTTGGCAGTGAGGTTGGTGGGGGGTAATATCCTGTGTATTGTGAGATGTTTGGCAGCATCCTTGGCCTCTACCCACTACATGCCCGTAGCACACTCTTGTCCCCAGTTATGAAGACCAAAAAGGTCTCCAAAAGAAAAAAAATAAAACCAAGCCTGTTGCCGTCCAGTTGATTCCCACTCATAGCGACTCTGTAAGACAGAGTAGAACTGCCCCATAAGGTTTCCAAGGATTGGCTGGTGGATTTCAACTGCTTACCTTTTGGTTAGCAGCCGAGCTCTTAACCACCACACCACCAGAACTCCAAAATGTCTCCAGATACTGCCAAATGTCTCCTGGGGAGGCAAAATCACTCCCAGTTAAGAACCACTGCTGTTTACACTTTTCCCTGTTCAGCGCGTCAGATAAAGACATCATTGGCTTTTTCAGTGACATTTTGTTTTTGGTAGTCAATGAAGGGCGGCAGTTTGAAAGTTGTTATATACTGCTGTTGATTATCTGCCCATGTTTTGCTTGAAATAACGTGATTGATTATGAAAAGTGTATTTAATAAAGCTGGATACAGTTTGAGAAAAATTGATGATTAAGGCAAGGAGAGGGATGGTGGTAACTGGAGGCTGTGGCAGGGGAGACAGAGGTGGTGGTGAACCCGATCACTAGTTCCAAGAGTGTTTTTGTTTATATCTAAGATAGAAGCACTTGAAGACTTGTACAGGCAAGAGAAAGAGTTAACAGATAGAGTGATATGCATTGATTTGTGTCTTCTAAAAAGATATGCTCAAGTCCTATTCCCTGGTACCTGTGTATGTTACCTTATTTGGAAATAGACTCTTTGCAGATGTGATTAGTTAACATGAAATCATACCAGAATAGGGTGGATCCTGATCTAATATGACTGGTGTCCTCATAAAAAGAGGAGAAGATACATAGAGAGAGACACAGAGGGAAGCCAGCCACTTGAAGACAGAGGCAGAGATGGGAGTTATGCTGCTACAAGTCAAAGAGCGCCTGGAGCCACCAGAAACTGGAAAAGATAAGGGAAGATCTTCGCCTAGAGCCTTCAGAGAAAGCATGGCCCTGATGACACTCCGAATTCAGACTTCCATCCTCCAGAACTGTGAGAGAATAAATTTCTGTTGTTTTAGGCCACCTAGTTTGTGGTCTATTGTTACAGCAGCCACAGGGACTAAGACAGAGGGTGAAGCTGAAAATAAGGAAAAGTGAGGTGATAACTGGTGGGGCACATTCCTTACAAAGGCAGCAAGCAACGGTCTCCATAGCACCAGTGGACAAGAGAGGGGATAGCTCTTCCACTTAGGGAGAAAGCAGCAAGAATGGGTAACAATACAAGTAGGTCTGTAGGTTAGGGACCATACCTAACATTACCTTGGCATGTGGGACCCAGAAGCTTAGGTTATCTGCCATAAGATGTAGTAGAGGTAGTGCAGTTGGGGGCTAGCAGAAAATGGTGATGGTTGGAATAACCATTCTGGGGAATGGAAAAGAGAGCTGATGAGGAAAGTAGCACCAAGGGTGTTTTGGGTCCAGCTGAAGTTGGAATCCATGAAGAACCTGTCCGAGCACCAGACCAAGTGATGATGTGATTTCTCCAGTAGAAGTCAGTGTGACCGGAGGAAGCTCACAGCAGTTGAGCTAGGTTTCTAGCAATTCACTCCGAGGACTCAGTGTGGGTTGGTCACAGCCCTAGACACTGACTGAGCCATGTTAGCCACACTGTGGTGGTGCCTCAGCAGACAGCATACAAATAATGCTGACTAAGGCAAACTCCCTTGGTCTTTTTCTTCCATGAGGTGATTCCATTTGGGCCTTAGTGCTCTTGCTTAAAAGATGTCCTATTGCAAAATGACTTGACTGTCTTTCTCTGCTTGACTCACTTTTTCCTTCCGTTTTGTTGCTCAGGTGGCTAGAGAGGCAAGATGAGGCCTTTCACTTGGAAAAAGGCAACCTCCCCATTTTTTCTTAACTCCTTAGAAGGTGTAATCTAGTAGCATTAGAGGCTGTCTGCATTCCGGAGGAGGGATGAGAATCACCATCAGCACAAAGCTGATTCTTGTGAGGTTGAGGTCAGACATATTTCCATTCTCCAACTTTTTAAAAAATCCTGACACTAGCCATCCTCCCCACAGCACCCTCTACTTCTCTGCTAGATTCGATAACTCATTGCAATGGCCTCACAGAACTCACAGACCACACTCACGATTATGTGGTTTATTGGGGAAGTTAACAGGCTACAACTTAGGATCAGGATCAACTTGGAAATAATTGAATGCAACTCAGAAGACAGGATGCAGTTCTTCAGTCAGGACAGCTTCCAACCAAGACCGCTCTCAGGTTCCTGTCATCTCTGCCGGCAGGCAGGCAGCCCCTCTCTCAGTCATGCCTACCACCAGGCCTTCTCTTAGACCTCCTGCCACAGGGCATTCTCTCAGACCTACTGCCACTAGGCCCTGCTCTGTGGGCCAGGAAGCTAACTGCAGCCATCTAGCGCTGGTCTCCTGGTTCCCACCACTTACACTGCTGTGCCCATCTCGAGTCGTTTTGTTCCATCTCATGCCGTCTCTAATGTTACAGCTCTCTATCTCTCCTGGGTCTTGAAAGTTCTCAGCACAGGGACTCCAGGTCCAAAAGACGTGCTCTGCTTCAGACTCTTCTTTTTTTAGAATTTTATTGTGTTTTAGGTGAGCTTTTACAGCGCAAATTAGTTTCTCATTCAACAATTTATACACAAATTGTTTTGTGACATTGGTTGCAATCTCCGCAAAGTGTCGGTACTCTCCCCCTTTCCTTTTATACCCCAGGTTCCCTGTGTCAATTTGTCCAGTTTCCTGTCCCTTCCTACCTTCTCATCTTTGCTTTTGGGCAGGTGTTGCCCATTTGGTCTTGTATACTTTATTGAACTAAAAAGCACATTCCTCACATGTATTATTATTTGTTTTATAGGCCCATATGATCTTTGCTGAAAGGTGGACTTGAGGAGTGGCTTCAGTTTTGAGTTAGCCATAGTCTGAGGGCCACAGTCTCAGGGGTTCCTCCAGCCTGTATCAGACCAGTAAGTCTGGTCTTTTTTTGTCTGAATTTGAATTTTGTTCTACATTGTTCCCCTGCTCTATCCAGAACCCCCTATTGTGATCTCTGTCAGGGTGATCAGTGGTGGTAGCCAGGAACCATCTAGTTCTTCTGGGCTCAGGCTGGTAGAGGCTGTGGTTCATTTGGCCCGTTAGTCCTTTGGCCTGATATTTTCCTTGTGTCTCTGGTTTTCTTCATCCTCCTTTACTCTGAACGTGATGGAACGAATAGGTGTATCTTAGATGGCCTCTCTTAAGCTTTTAAGACCCCAGATGCTACTGACCAGAGTTGTTGTGGTTGTTATTGTTAGGTGCAGTCGAGTCAGTTCTCACTCAAAGCAAACCTGTGTACAACAGAATGAAACGTTGCCCAGTCCTGTGCCATCCTCACAAGCATTGTTATGCTTGATCCCATTGTTGCAGACACTGTGTCAATCCGTCTCACTGAGGGTCTTCGTCTTTTTCGCTGACCCTCTACTTTACCAACCATGATGTCCTTCTCCAAGGACTGGTCCCTCCTGATAACATGTCTGAAGTATGTGGGACAAAGTCTGGCCATCCTTGTTTCTAATGAGCATTCTGGCTATACTTCTTCCAAGACAGATTTGTTCATTCTTCTGGCAGTCCATGGTATATTCAATATTCTTTGACAACACCACAATTCAAAGGCATCAGTTATTCTTCAGTCTTCCTATTCATTGTCCAGCTTTCACATGCATATGAGGCGATTGAAAACACCATGGCTTGGGTCAGGCACACATTAGTCCTTAAAGTGACATCTTTGCTTTTTAACACTTTAAAGAGGTCTTCTGCAGCAGATTTGCCCAATGCAATGCATCTTTTGATTTCTTGACTGCTACTTCTTTAGGTTTTGATCGTGGGTCCAAGTACAATAAAATCCTTGACAACTTCAATCTTTTCTCCATTTATCATGATGTTGCTTATTGGTCCAGTTGTGAGGATTTTGGTTTTCTTTATGTTGAAGTGTAATCCATACTGAAGGCTGTGCTCTTTGATCTTTATCAGTAAGTGCTTCAAGTCCTCTTCGCTTTCAGCAAGTAAGGTTGTGTTATCTGCATATCACAGGTTGTTAATGAGTTTTCCTCCAATCCTGATGCCACATTGTTTTTCATAAAATCCAGCTTCTCAGATCTGGTGATAGTCTCACCAAAGTAGGTTGTAGAATATTTTTTTTATGAACTATGTTATGCCAATTGACCTAGATGTCTGCCTAGACTGTGGTCCCCAGTCCTTAGCCCCAGTAACTCAGTCCCTCATGGTGTTTGGATGTGTCTAGGAAGCTTCTATGACTTTGTTTGGTTAAGTTGTGCTAACTTCCCCTATATTGTGTGTTGTCTTTCCTTTCACTAACACCTAACAACAACAACAAAGTTATCTAGTTAATGATTTGCCCTCTTCACCCCCTCCTCCCTCATAATCATAAAAGATTGTTTTTTTCTGTGTGTAAACATTTTCTTGGGTTTTTATACTAGTGGTCTCATACAATATTTGTCAATTTGTGATTGACTTATTTTACTCAGCATAATGCCCTCCAGATTCATCCATGTTATGAGATGTTTCGCAGATTCATCATTGCTCTTTATAGTTGCTAGTATTCCACTGACCCTAAGAGGCAGTTCTCCTCTGTCCTATAGGGTCGCTATGAGTCGGAATCGACGGCAATGGGTTTGGTTTTTTTTTTTGGTATGTAGCATAGTTTGTTTATCCATTCATCTGTTGATGGGCACTTAGGTTATTTCTTTTTGCTAATTGTGAACAATGCTGCAATGAAAATGAGTGTGCATATGTCTATTCATGTGATGACTCTTATTTCTCTAAGATATATTCCTAGGAGTAGGATTACTGGATTGTATAGTATTTCTATTCGTAGTTTTTTAAGGAAGTGCCATATCGTTTACCATAGTTGTACCATTTTACATTCCCACCAACAGTGAATAAGCGTTCCAGTCTTCCCACAACCTCTCCAGCACTTGTTATTTTCTGTTTTTTTAATTAGTGCCATTACTGTTGGGGTGAGATGGTATGTCATTGTAGTTTTGACTTGCGTTTCTCTAATGGCTAATGATCGCGAGCATTTCCCCATGTGTCTGTTAGCTGCCTGAATGTCATGTCTTCTTGGCGAAGTGTCTGTTAATATCTTTGCCCATATTTTAATTGGATTATTTTTCATTTTGTTATTGAGGTGTTAAAATATTCTACAGATTTTAGAGATTAGACCGTTGTCAGATATGTTGCAGCCAATTTTTTTTTCCCAGTCTGTAGGTTCTCTTTTGACTCTTTTGGTGAAGTCTTTTGATGAGCATAAGTGTTTAATTTTTAGGAGCTCCCAGTTATCTAATTTATTTTCTGGTGTTTGTGAATTGTTAGTTATTGTTTGTATTGAATTTATGCCATGTATTAGGGCCCCTAACATTGTCCCTGTTTTTTCTTCCATGATCTTTATCGTTTTAGGTTTTATTTTTAGGTCTTTGATCCATTTTGTGTTAGTTTTTGCGTATAGCGTGAGGTATTCATCTTGTTTCATTTTTTAACAGATGGACACCTAGTTTTGCCAGCACCACTTGTTAAAAAGACTATCTTTTCCCATTTATTGGATTTTGGTCCTTTTTAAAGATCAGCTGACCATGTTGTTGTTGTTGTTGTTAAGCGCCGTCCAGTCAGTTCCAATTCATAGCGACCCTATTGGACAGAACAGAACTGCCGCATATGGTTTCCAAGGAGTGGCTGGTGGATGTGAACTGCTGACCTTTTGGTTAGCAGCTGACCATAGATGGATGGATTTACGTCTGGGTTCTCAATTCTGTTCCAGATTGGTCTATGTGTCTGTTGTACCAATACCAAGCTATTTTGACTACTGTTGCTGTATAGAAAGTTCTGAGATCAGGTAGTGTGAGACCTCCTACTTTGTTCTTTTTCTTCATTAATGTTTTGCTTATCTGAGGCCTCTTTCCTTTCCATATAAAGTTGGTGATTAGCTTTCCATCTTACTAAAGAAGGCTGTTGGTACTTG